GACTAACCTTAGAGAAGGCTGGAGCATAAAATGACAGCTAATTCCTGCAGATTGCAGATGGCAGGGTTGAGGATTGTACATCAGAAGAGGTTTTCCCTCTTTCCTTTAGAAACAAGATTTTATCAGATGGCTTGTTTGCCTTTGTGCCAAGTATAAGAAAATACAGGCCAGTAAGTCATGCTGCTACTAATGTTAAAAGAGTACAATTACCAATTTGCTGCATTGTCTTTCCATTAATGGGGCTGTGTCAGACATGGAGTTAATCAAGGAAGTTTATCTCTTGTTGGCTTCATCTGGAAAGTTAAGTATTCGTTGTTTGCCTGTTTTTATTTTTAACCTACGAGGTAGGCATTTACTCGAATGTATTGTGCTTTAACTTAAAACAGCTAGTATGCCACCCACGAGGCAACCCCTCTATCACTTCTACTACCTACTCCTCACTTAGCTAAAAATTTAATCTATGCAGTCTGCTCTTAAATGCCTGGAATCCTTAACAATAATTGCCATCAGTGTAAAATAAGTGTAGCATGCATCTACATCAAAACAATAATGATGTATAGCTGGTATTCATTCAACAGGCCTGTTTCTCTGCCAAGCCAGTTATTCCAGCTGAAGCTCTGGTGCAGAAGGTACTGGATAGTGAAAAATTGAGCCCATGATCCAGTAGCCAGTGCAAAAGAATTCATGGAGGCAAGTCAGTCGAAGAGCATGTTTTCATGTAGAGAGTTACCCATCAAACAGTCACAAAACAGGTGAGTCAATTGCAGTTAGCATTGTTCACCATGCTGTGACTGAAGGGGAAGGAATTCAAATTAACACTAATTGCATCTTCTTTCAATTCATCAGTTCAGTGCATAGCCAATTTAAAATAGATACAGGGTCATATAAAAAAACCACTACGCACTCCCATGATTAAACACTATTTTTAGCATAGTTGGTCTCCCTGACAACTTTTGAACCCATTGCTCGATTAACCCAAATTTGAAAAGGAGATCGTGTGGCAGCTATCACTGTTCTGACAGGGTACTAAAAATCAGCAACCAGGGAAAGGAGAGAACCGTGAGTCGGTGCTCCACACCAAAGGAAGGGTAAGCAGAGTGCAACCGCTGTCCTGCGGCTTTAGCGGCAGCCAGGCAGAGGCTAAACTAGCGTAACTCGGGAGTGGTGCTGGCCCTCACCCACGAGGGAGACTGTAAAGGAGAGTTGGTATGTTGCAGTGAAGAGAATGGCACCCTTTAAGGCCATAAACCACAGGTCTATAGGAAATCAGGTTTCATTACCTCTGCTTCTACTGGAACAACTTGTTTATAAGCTCAAGATTCTAAAGGGTTCTTTGTGTATAATTGTTAGCGTGATTAGAGATAATAAGAAAGCCAAAAAGAATGGAGTCTCACTGTCTGGCAGTCAGAGCCATTCCCCCCAACCTTTCAGGCATACAAGCCTATTCAGCAGTAAAGCCTGATGTAATTGGATTGCAACTATTGCCTTCAAAAAGGTAAGAGTATTACCATAATTATTTAGTATGGTTTATTCGTACAGTTAAAAATGTACTGTAATCTGCCTGGGAGACTAGGTGATTTATGGGTGCATATGTTTGTTATATTGGGCTCGGCAAGGCTTTTAAAAAATTATAAATCGCTCACAAATGAGTTCACAGTGATTTTAGAGTATTACAGTGACAGGACTAATTTAGACAATGTCAAGGTACTGAATGAATGCACAAAGTTTATTGAACCATTAGAGAAGACAGTAAGTAATAGAACACAATTGGAATATGACAGAAGCACAGCATAACTTCTATGTCTTTCTTAATTTTCACAAGTGTAGCCAATACTTGTTTGTTTGCTTTTTAAAATATGTCTAGCAACATCCAGGAGGGTTTATGAAAAATGTCAACAAAATCAGCTTAACCACCTCAATTCCTGGTTGAGTAGGTGTGTAATCAAAATGTTCTGTTAGCCAGAAGGACTCTTACAGTAATTCAGCTCCTTCTCAGATCTGTCCTTCAGCTAGCATACAAACATGATTAAATGCATTGTAGTGCATATGTTATTAATGTGTAATATTATTTTGTCTTCCCAACAGTGTATTGCCAGTATCTAATAAATTCAACACCTTTTTTCCAGATTTTTGCATTATATTATGAGATAAATTTGATAAGGTGCTGAGCACTAGTACATCAGCAGTTTTCTGTATGGTCAGCATTAGTTGATGGCCCGTGGATCTCAGGCTTGGCCCTTGGTAGCTAAGTACAGGTCAGCAGTTTGAAAGGGAAGGCAACATTTAGGGTTGGACAAACTGATTTATGAATAAAGCCTTTACTGACCTTCACTAAAATCTATGTCTGCCTTAAGATAAACCTGATCCTGCTAACAGAGCACTAGCAACAACTGGAGGGGGCTGGTTGATTGTGTGTCATAGTCCCTCAGCTGCACATTCCTTTTGAGCTCCAGAGCTTTCCCTTTGGAGCATTTCAGTCTGTATTTGCATACTATCTAGTACACTGAGGTCCCAATAATTGTATCTGTTGGGTCAATGTATAGTATTATCCTAGTTGTCCTTACTATTATTGGATATCACTGTATTGTGCAGCTTCATAACAAATGGAAAATTCCAAATTGCCACACATCACAGGTGTGTGAAATTCTGTAAGCACTAAGTGCATTAAGGCTGTTCTAGGGATGTCACAAGCCAGTTTTACTTCATATTTTAAAATCAGCAAAGAAACAAATCTGTTGTATACACTTCCATAGCTTTTACCTGCTTTTGGAATGCCTGGCTTTGTTTTAGAGGAAATAAGATCTGCATCTGATTTGCCTTGGCAAATATATGAACAGGTTCATTATTCAAACTCCAAAAGGAGCTGTAAAGGTTTAAATTACATGCAGTAAACATTTCAAACTTTACTTCTTGCTTTAGGCATATGCACAGAACATTTACAACCAAGCACATCATCTTTTCTAGCAAATAATTCCTAGGAATGTAAATTCCAGTCCAGTGGTTGTCATATATTTTATGTTCTGTGCATAGCTATCTTGGCAAAGTAATTTTGTCAGAAGCAATAAACTCATGCCTGGGATGAACATGAAAAGAAAATAGCAGTAAGTCTGAGCATTTTTCTTTCTTTGTTACTCAGAGCGTGTTTCAATTTTTTTCTCCTGTGATGATCAAATCAGATATGCTGTAGAGTCCATCTGAGCAATATGTACACCCCTAATGAATCAACAGCTCTATGTGAAAACATGGAAATGAGGTGGCTGCGTACTGCCTGTCTTTTTGTTTCCATACAACAGCTGTAAAATATTTAGTTGAACATCCTGAAGTTCATTCTTTCCAGAGCAATTAAAGAGTTGCTTGGCAGAGACCTGTGGAGAAGGGCAGGAGTATGCTTAAAAATGAATACAGTCATTTTGGATACAGGCGCAATGCCGTTGTTAGTGAGAAGCCAGAAGGCGTGGGCTTTCTAACATGGAAGGTGAGGTGCTTTGAGAGCACCTCTAAGTTGAGTTATTTTTAAATGAAGAATTTTCACTTCACAGAAAATATTCTGAAGTTTCTTTTTACTGAAAAACAATTTGGAACAGTCTTCAAAAAGATATTTTAAAGGCTTATTTTCATTATTTAGGAAATGCTAGAATTCTAAATACTTTTCCACAGGGTTTTCCAAGTGTTGGATTTTTTTTACTGTATTTTTATGTACTTAGATATGTGTTGTGAGAGGGATCATCATTAGTTTTCAGTTCAAGTGGTCTTCTACTTCACTAGAATTTCCAGGACTGAATTTAGTAAGATTTTATTTGAACCATGTTATCAAATGAAGAATTTTCTTTCCTTGTTGCAGCTGTCCTTTTAAGCATTTTGTGGAAAGGAAAATGCTTTACAAATAAGATAGGGAAAAGAATAGTTTTCATTAAAGCTGATTACTGTGGCAGCAATAGTCTTCCTGATAAGCTGCAAAATATTTATCTGTAACTACAAAATTTCATACTTTAATACATTATCTTAAGATTTCCAATGACAACGATAAATAGTCTTTCACTGCCATGCAACTTATGCAATAAAGAAATATGACTAGTCTGTTCTTAACACACTCAGTAAAACACTAAGGCTGGTAATGTTACTCATTCACCACTGCAGTTCAAGTTTCAGGACAGCTTTTCTGCCCAGCTGGGTGTTTTGGGAGTCAGGAACCTCTGAGCTACAGCAGGGTTCTGTTTCAGGGCTCCTGATCAAATCAATACAAAGTTCAGACTTGTTTCCGTTAAGAGATTTATTCAAGAATAGCACGCACATCAAACGGGTTTGTTACTGACAACAGAAATAGGCATCCAGACAAGAATCTGAAATAGGCAGTAAAATATACTGTTTAATAGACCAAAAGAAAAAATGATTTACATGAATGAAAATGAGTGGTAACACTGAAGAGTACAAGACAGTAAAAATTAAGATAGTGACCTGTGCCACAGGTAACTGAAGTAATTGCTAAGCTCCAGTCCATTATTTTGGTAGGTTTCAGGCCTATTCTAGCTACATACACATCTGTGCTTTTGGAAGAGACATAAATTACAGGAAATACTTTATTTTTAATATCTTCCTGGGGTAGCTAAAGAGAGATGATTACATCATTAAACTACTTGCTACTAGATCAAAATTTACATGCCTGGAGACCTTGAGTTAAGGAGGAAGTAGTTGACTATAGTGTTGTTCAAAGAATGATCCAAAAATGAGTAATTGCTAAGCTCCAGTCCATTATTTTGGTAGGCTTCAGGCCTATTCTAGCTACATACACATCTGTGCTTTTGGAAGAGACATAAATTACAGGAAATACTTTATTTTTAATATCTTCCTGGGGTAGCTAAAGAGAGATGATTACATCATTAAACTACTTGCTACTAGATCAAAATTTACATGCCTGGAGACCTTGAGTTAAGGAAATAGTTGACTATAGTGTTGTTCAAAGAATGACCCAAAAATGTCTCTAATGACAGGGGACTAAAATATTGTTTTCATTATTTTTCTTTATTTAAAAATCAGAGTAAGAAAGGGATAAATACATACTTTCACAATACAGGAAGGAAAAAAAAAAGTCCAAAAAGAAAGGTAAAAGCTAGTTTTATGCATACTATTTATACGATAAAGCAGTGAAAGCCTTTCTGATGTTGGCAACAAATGCAGAAAAATTGTTAGTTTCTCTCACTTTGAGCTGGAACTCTGCTATACAGTCCAGAGGAGGAGAACAGGAAGTCACTAAAATGACACAGATTTCCAAAAGATTAGACTATTATAAAAAATTCATTATTAATGTTTTCCCATGCTTATGAAATACTAATGTAGTTTGTTATCTTTGTATGTTTTAGCTTTGCCCAGTATTTTTTGTGTAACCTATTTCTTTCAGCAAAGCCTCCAAGAACACACAATTTTTTTTTACTTCCAGACCTCCCACTCAGTGCTGTGCTCCTGCTTGAATTGTTACAGCAATTCCCAGTAGTCCATAGCCTGCTCAAAAATTGAAACACGTTCCTAAACATTTTTGTCGATCTGCAGGCAGGCAGCCTGAAAAGTGAAATGCTGATGTAGCCCAGCATGTGATAAACTTCTAACTTCAGCACAGTTTAGATTTGAATTAGTAAAGTCAGAAATCTGTTCAGTCCATACCTAGAGGCATGGCAGAGCAACAGCAGCATCCGTCTAGAAGCTACTCAGCACAGTACTCAAATTACCACTGCTGTTCTTCCTAACTGAAGAACCATATGGCAAAACCAGCTTTAAGATCTAAAAAGCTACACCCTTGCAGAAGAGCAATGCTGGATTTCAAGATTTAATCCTTCTGCTTATGGCACACAACTGTAAGTGTATCCCACAGTAGTGGGGAACCTATTTTTTTCTGCCCTCTAGGCTTCTCAAACAGGTTGAAATATGCCTGTTGGCATAAAGGCACTCACTCTAGCATAAAGGGAAGAAGCAACAAACTACAACCTGAAGCATCTATCTCTGCATATCTATTCTCTCTCCTGCTTTGCTTGATACAAAGTAAACAGCAACTCCACAAATGGAGGGAAGATAAGCAGTTGTATTTTCATATAAGTTAACAAGATAAATGTAATTTAAAAAGAATTATGTTACCATTGCAAGGTTTTTCATTCAGAAATTGAAAGATAAAGGTTACAACTAAACTGCACTTTACTCCTCTCCCCTTTGTCAAATAGGGGCATCAGATTCTGTCCTCTTGCTTAAGCACTCAAAATTTACATACCTTCATAGTCTCCCTGTTCATTTATAGAAAGGGTAAACACATATGGCTTGTCAGGATCTTTGTGGTCAATGTGTCTGAATATAAACTGTAATTGTTCATCTAAAGCAAACACAAAAAGAAATAATTAGCACCATTAACCTCTGCTGGAGAATCACAATGATAACTTAAAATCACATTAAGCTACAGTTTCAACTGATATTCTTATAACACTTACAAATTAAGTAACCCTGGTCTCTTGGAAAGACAAATGCATTTTACCATACAATATTTTGCCATTTGAGAGACAATGGTAATGCCTGGGCTGAAACAGTTCTTAGTGTCTAAGCTAGTATGTTCTTCACTACACTATCCAACATTAACCATATTGCATCACTGCACATGGAAACTGTGGAAGCTATAGAAACTTACTGGGAATCCTGCGTATCTCCAGTCCAAGCCGCTCTTCAAACAATACTTTAGACTTGCATAGTCGTTCCACTCTCTCCTTAGTGGCTTTGTTTTTAGAAGATATTACTAGAATTTTAAAAGCCGCCATAAATATCAAAGTAAAGGTAAAACAAGCACATAAAATTTCTAGAGCAAGTAGAAAAACTCATGAAGACCAAGTGTTGAAAACAATTCCTCCTATAATTAAGAAAATTTACTTCTTATCCTTTGCTTACTTTCCTTTTTCTTCATCAATTCTTCTTTAAGCTCTTGGATGCTGTCAGTCAAGTCCTTCTTTTGATCTTCTTCATGATTTAGGTTAGATTTTATTTCTGTCAAATGCTCTTCATTTTCTGATACGCGTTGGCTCTGCTGGAGAATCTCTGAAAGAAGACAAGAAAATACGAACATACATAGTTTATTAATTAGGACCCCGCTGTTGAGTACTTGTTTATACAGTCTGAGATGACTCAATAAGACCTAGTGAAATACATGCTACCTCAGCTGAAGAGAGAAGTCAACATAACTATACTGAGAGCATCAAATAAAAGCTTAAAGTGAAAGTTATTCAAAAGAGAAGCTATCATGTAGGGAGCTCCTCCAATACTTCAGTCGGATGCAATTGATTTCTGGTGATAGCACTGTATACATCTCCAAAGCATGTGGATGGTGGATCCTGTCCCCAGACAATTTGACAGAAAGCAAGGAATGGAAACACTGACTGATATTAGAGTGGCAATTATTTTTACCCAATATTCTGAAGTTTAACTACAAAATTCAATGTAGTTAATCCCAGACTGATAGTCTGACTGTATTCTATTACTAACATGGAAGAGGCATAAGTAACTTCACAATATCTAACTTTACTAAGCAATCTAATTTATTTTTCCTATTGCAGTCAGCAAGTTCTGGTACTTTGTTGTTTTAAATACTGAAGAACCAGAACCATTATATAGAAAACTTTTACCTGATCTTTATGTTTTTGCATTAGCAATGAAGTTTTCCAACCAGTTGCTTTTGACTTGCAATTTACATCCTGTAACCAAACGTTTGGTTTTAATTCTGTCTTCATTCTGACTTTGCTATTTAACCTCTTAAAAGGGGAAGTTAGACATATTATTCAGCTGTATTAAGTCAATTTTAGAAATGTTAGATATAAAGAAAAAAAAACCACCACCATACTGTACCATTGCTATATTCCTGAATTTTATCAATCATCAGGTCCCCTTCTTTTAGCTTCTTGGACCATTTCTCTGTAATGGAAAGTTAGTTCTGTTATCTGAAGAAGTTTGATCATAAATTGGAAAAAGCAGAGGCAACAGGAACATAAAGCCGTTTTACCTGAAAGTGCTTTTATGGACTCCTTGCATGAATCTCTCAGTGCTAAAGTGTGATTGATGTGTTCAGTGCCATAAATGCTTTTTAATTTGGTCCAAAACTCTTTCATTTCTCGTTCAAAGAGCATTATTTCATCTTCTGTCCTTGTATTAGCCATAGTGCTACGACAAACATGTAAGTCAATAAATAATGTCAAGGCACACAAGCCAATCGCAGCAGTTACAACTCGCTATTACAGGATAAACCTTCAGGGCTGTTTTTATCTTCTTGGCCTGTTATTAAAACCTCTTACCCTAAGCTGTTTTTGTTGTTACTACAACAGGCACTAACAGTGGGAGCTACGTTTCTTTCGCTACTCCACCGCGACGGGTTACCCGCGTCGGGAGGAGGCCCTGCGCTCGGGACTGCCGCGATACCGACAGCCGTTCCCAGGGTCACGCCAGCCCTCGGCGGCACCGCGCCCCACTGCCGCCGGGGCGCTCCCACCCCTTCGTCGTCCTCCGGCGGGGCTCGCACCTTCGAAGGCTTCCCCCTTCTCCGCCCAACGGGACGTTAACGGCGGCGGA